CCCCCCTCCCTCCCTCTTTTATTCACTCAATTTATATCGCGCGGTCTCGCATTAATAAATCCGTCGGAATGAAAAAAACGCGCGAAACCGTTACAAGATCCTCCCCCATCCAACGATGAAGTCGGTGGCGCGACTAACGAACGGACGAACAGCCGAAAAAAAAAAAAAAGAAGAAAAGGAAGAAAACACGAACACGGCCACCCAAGACCTATAAAGCGAAGATTAACAGCGCTCTCCCGGACGATCCGGAGAAGCAGCTAGTGTATCTCTGTTTATACGAGCGCGGCATAAAATCCGTTATACGACGTGGCGCGGGTTTTCGTGGCGCGGCACATGCTACCGCCATATGCGGCGCGATAAACAAACGCGTAAACGCGGCTTCTTTTGCCAGGCGTCCCCGTCTCTTTCCCTCTTTCTCTTCCTCTGTATCCCTGTCGCCGCTGTCGACTCCGCGGAGTTGTATTCCCCGCGTCTCCTGCCGGCTCCTTTGCTCCCGGGAGTCGGGCCGATAAACAGTCCGATTTAGTGGGCCACGCCGACCAACCGGAGTTTCGGGAAAAATAAACGCGGTAGCTAAAGAACGCGCCGACGGTGGCGGCGACGATGACGTCGAAGATCGCGTTTTCGCGGCTTGACACAATGCCAGGCGTGGGTGGGTGTAAATGCGTGTACGTGCGAGTGTGCGTGCTTGTGGTCTCGCGTACGTGTGTATTTACGTGTGGGTATGTGTGCATGCGCCATGTACAATTGTGCGTGTGTTCGTGTGTTCTGCATGTGCTCTTGCGCGGGCGTGCATGTGCGCGCGCTCGCTCTTGCACGTGCGAGCGACGCTCGGCGTCGAGGGCTTGCAGGCAGGCACCGTTCAGCGGCACCGCCACTACCTCGCGGTTTGAGGTCCGCCAGATATACGCCGGATTATTAAACGCCCGCGAGGCTCCGACGCCCGTTTGCGGATTCCACGGTGGTCGCGGAGCTTCCGACGACTTTGGACCTGCCAACCAGACAATTCCCCCTTCTAATAATGTCCCATTTGCCGCACCTTTCGATCCCGCGATCGACGTTACATCGCCCTTTATGTTAGTTTACTTCTGCCTCCTCGTAGCTCGCGTTACTTTTACGAACCGAACCGATCGCGACGCATTTTATCCGCTGGCTGTCCGGAGTGCCGATTTTTTCAATTCGCCGCGGCAAAATTCTCTTCCCGCGATGCTACATTTTCGCGCTAGTCGGTGTTTTCTGCGACATATGGTCGCAGCGCGCCTTACGCGAGTTGCATCGAACATATTTAACATCCTTACGACGGACAAGTGCTGTGCGTTCTACTCTTTACCGGAAAACGATTTTTTTCCATCGCGATAATAATGTGGATAATTATACGTTGTTGGCCCATATTCTGAATCCGCTTTTATTGGTAGAAGTATCCTAAATGTCGCTTCTCAGCCAACCAGGTAGTTTCTAAATCACTTTTGGAGTCTCTTTTATCAGTAAAAGTGAGTTGAGACTACGTATCTTTGCGTATAAACGAATTACATTCGTTTTATATACGATTTTTGAACATACTTGACTTGGATCGAGGTTCTCTTGGTCCATCTACTGTTACTTTGATGGCTTTGGTGTATGTGGCTACTTGGAACGGCGTCGAGCTAATCTGAATAGTCAGCGAAAACGATTTTCCTGCAAACCAAAACAAGACCTACCAATAATACATGCGATCGAGATATGTGTCGTAATTTCGGTTATAGAATATAATGACACGTTGTCATTAGCTTTAATTCTCGCGTACACGCGTAGATCTTCGACATTCCCTTTCTATCCTTGCGATATTACGACATTTGAGCGACTACGGTTGATTCATGCAGCTCTTTTTTTTTCTCTCGCGATTGGTATATTTACCGTTGGTTCGGGCGGAAAGTTCGGCTCGATTTTTGAGTCCAATTTTACTTCGCTGCATTCAATGGAACGAATTCATCAATCAAATGCAGTCGTCTGGTTGTCTTCGACTATGTTTTGGCAGCGGAACGTTATCAACATTATTGCCTGTGTTACATGCAATATAATGCAATACATGCAATATATTTGTCAAAAAACAAACCGAACTTTTTGATCAACATAACATTTTTCTAACTGAACGACTTCTTCGGAGTTCAATTCCAACTTTGCGTGCGTTTCATTTGAACCGTTAGGATTGATCAACTTAGGAACGTAATGTTGTGGGAAAATTTACATATTTTGTCCGCTATAATTCTCCTATATACTCCGTTAAGTAGCAAGTGAAAAATCATTTACATAAAGATAAAAGCGTTCTTTTGCTTTGAGCTGTCAGCTTTTCAACTGGTTATCATTTATTTGCAACACGATAGAATCCGAATTTTTGCTTCATATCGACTGACTCTCTCTAAAAAATTATATGCAAAAGCTGACATACTGGAGCTGACATACTGGAACATTATGCAGGACACAAATTCTTAGCTACCTCTTCCGCTACGGCCAACGAATCTGAGATCATTAAACTTGGCGACTTGGTTCTTCATGATAGCTGTGCAATTTCTCAGTTCGGCGCAGGAATTGTCTTCATTACCGGCCCGGATAGTAACCATAGTGCCGTCTTTGATTTCGTCAAGCGCGATGACCTTGAACGGTACCGGTAGGGACTTATTCGACCTCCAATGCGGCGGTAGCACGGAACACATAATGACAGGACTGCCCGTTTGCACCAAATCACCGTGAAAGTTTCGTAAGGCTTCATAAATCGCGGTATAATCTTCCATTCTATCCGGACCTTCCGGCATCCTCCCGAAAATCCTTGCGGATCTTCTTGGTGGGGAAATTAAGATGCCCAATTTTCAACGAAACTTGCACACCAGCGCGAACACTATATCGGTCACGTTTGCGATCACTGCTTTTCCCGCAATCCACTGCAGTCGCACTTAATTGAATACGGCAACAATAAACACATTACTTCCTTATTACCTCCGTTTTTCGGCGAAAAAAGAACACCTTCTCACTCGTCGGAGTTACAGTTTCGCATCCGCGGTGCCTACCACGGTGAACTTTTCCAAAGTTCGAGCCGAATCGACGTTCACCCGGTGCCGGCTGAGCGGATTCTAGTTTTTAGCGAACGTAGCCGCAGCTATTTAGAGGGGATTTTTCTCCCCTCCAATTTTTCCGGAGCCCCACCCAGGCCAAGCGCGTCGACCAATGAGGACGGCGGTCGTGTTGTGGCCTCCGCGGCTCGCCGCCTTCGCCCCTAACCAGGCTTAGGGGGTGCTTTGCGAAAGGGGTTGCCTGCCTGCCGCCTGGCTCGCGAAGGGTGGCTTGCGCCTCCGCTCTTCCTTAACGTACCTCACTCGACCTCGGCCGCTCCTCTCTCTCTTGCTCCCGCACGCTCTCGCTTTCTCTCTCTCTCTCTCTCCACCTCTCTCTCCCTCTGTCTCTCCATTCCTCTTCCCACCCTTCGTCACCCTGCGGCGCTCCTTCTCGTTCTATCTTCATCTGTGCCATTCCGTCCGTCTCCCTTCCTCGATCTTTCCGCCTTCGCCTTCTGCTCTCCTCGTCATGCTGGCCGTAGCGTCGCTCTCGTCACACTACCTTTCTACCTATCTACGTCACGTTTATACAACGAATTCTCACGCGCACGTGTTCCAATCGCCCCACTACGCGACCTACGACCCTACTCCCGGAACCGCACGCGTTTCTTGACCTCCAAGGCTACCGCGGTCTCTCCGGGCGGCGTGCCAGCGCGCGACTTCCGAACGTTTAACACGCGTTTTGCAACGGTTATTTGCGACTCACTGCTCCGTTTTCGACAATGGTAATTTGGTGATATTCAAAAAGATTTTTCTCTTTCGGAGAAGAAAACAGGATGTATTGCATCTTGGTAAAGGAAACTAGCATTAATCCGTTTTCGAAAATTTGCTTATTTTTTTTATCACAATGCAAACAGCGTTAAATTCTTACAAAAATCTATATATTGAGATTCGGCACAATAAAAGGAATAAAATAATACTACGCGTGATATTTTTATATATAACATAATAACATTATTGTTTTGCATTATTATTGAACGTGCACGTTTGAATAAATATTGTGATACAACGGATCTAATTCTCGAACAAATATTTAAATTGATTTTGTATTGAATGTCTGTTCCGGATATAAGGTCCGTAAGGTACGTGTGGCCCTTAACACATTGCATGCAGGTATATTTCGCCGCGGACTTACGTGTGTAGCGGGCGTTTTTGAATTCCGCGGAGTATTTAGTAAAATCGCAATAAATCGATAACTACTTCGTTTTTCTCAATAATCGCAATAATCGATAACTACTTCGTTTTTCTCAACGAAACTTTTTTTATTTTACACTTAAATATATGTTCTACGATTATTTAAAAAAAAACGTACACACTTACAATGCCCATCGTATTTATACGATGCCCGCTCTCCAGCACAAATCTTCTAAATACGTACTTTTACGTGATCCGCGCTCTAATGACAGACTGCAGAAAACGTAAAAGTACGTTTCCCGCACGAAATGTGTTAATAGGGATAATAAATATAGTATGTTCACACGGAGAGGCGAACGGTTTTCACCAAAAAAATACCAATGGAAATGTATGTGTTAGCTGAGAATCCCTTATTTCATTGGTTTTCATGCAAAATGAGAAAACCAATTCTAGATCTTTTGTGCGTCAATTCTAAACAGAATTAGTCGCGCTAAAAGTGTGCTTCTTGTCAAGGAAAAACCATTAATCAATTTTCTGAATCTCTATTTCTGAGCCTAAACAAGATTTATGGCAAAAGGGTTGTAGCGATCCGACTTTATAGATTTCGGCAAGGTCAAAACGCTAATTTTTTTTTATCGCTATTGAGTTCAATAGTATCTTGTGTTCTCAATCATCCTTTAGTCTTTCTATTTCCTCCTCTTCTCCTCTTCCCCTCTCTGTTTCTCACGCCATCGGTACGTTATATTGTCGAAATCATCTCAACAAATTACTAGTTGAGCGATCGCGATGCACATTCGGAATATTTCTGATACGTTCTGATCTCGATGTTACACACGCGTGAAAGTTGAAAACAATTAAATTTGTTCGCGACGAAACGATGGAAACGCGACAGGTGCAAGGTGCATTTGTTATTCCGTGACGTCAAAAATCAACTTTTCCGAAATTACATAGGCTTTAATGCTCAGCGGGGTTGCAATGATCACGTCGACCAAGCTCTGACCTTTATTACGGCGGCCGAAACAGAAGATTTGTTTTGGACATGAGAACAAAAAGTGTATCGCGTGTAATGGAAGCGCACAAATTTGAGCATGAGCGTATTTCGGAGCGGTGAAAAATGAGCTCTGTGCGCGTGTTGTGACACTTTTTTTCATGATGTGTAGCACAATTTCTCATACAACTGTTGCCGTATTGCGTACCACTGCATCCGTTTTGACATTCTCATGGCTTCTCAGGTTCGGCACTCTTTGACTAGCATTGTTGGCGGAATGGAGGTCACTGGCCTATTGAGGTAGTTTTACAATTTTAGAAATTTTTATTACCAGATCTCGAACCAAAGGGTTCTTTTCTTGCGAAGTGCAATTTCTTAGTAGTAATAAGAAACTTTATTTTTTTCTAATTTTATTTTTGGGCGTCATTCCACAGCGGTTTGCCCTTAAACGGCTAGACTCGTTTGTACTTCTTTGTGACTGAAAATTCGTTTTAAATTAACCTCTTTTTTTTCCTCTACTTTTACGGTTATTTATTGCCATTCACTTTGCATCTATGGGAAAATTCGTAAACAGAGGTATATAAAGACGTTCTTAGTTCAGCCGACATTCCGAGTTACGTTTGAGAAATTTACTGTGGCAATTTTTGTACGTTTGTATATCTCTTACAAATAAAATAAAGGCATTTTGAATGAATCGTTAATTATACATAGGATGGATAGGCACTTTTGTGTTTAGTTTGTTAAATTTCAACATATTACGCACATATATCGGGCATCTGCAACTAGCAGCGTTTGATGTGTCGCGAAAAGACGAAAGCTTTGAGCGTTAACTCGGTATTGTTTTACCGTGCAGGAGGGCGCTGACTGCGAGAGAGACGACACAAGTAATTAATAACGCCACTCTCGGCGAAAGGGTCAAACGTGGCCATAAAATCGCGTCATTTTGCGACACACAACGACGAGGACTAATTTCTTAAAACATCCCCGCGTATGTCGTCAGGCTTCCGTTTCCTTGCCAGTGCCCAGCAAAAGCGTCGCACTGTTTTAATATCTTCTAGTGCAGACCGTGTCAAAGACTACAGAGATTCGCGTTATGAGACGTACTCGATGTCATGACTCGGCATCTGTGAAAGGTTGCACGGCCACTACGCGACAGTGACGCGTCGACACCGGAATTATCAGCCTTAATTATTCTCGAAGTTCCTAATTACTACACGGAGAAAAAAGTTTCTTTGGATTTAATATACGTGTTGTGTGATTTGGGTTTATTTAATATAAACAACATAATTTAATATCAAATTTCATTTTGTTTAAATAGAAATGTTGTTTTATTAGAATAAATCATATTGTTTGATAAAGAAGAACAGTATTTAGAAGAAAACAATATTTGGTTTTCAATAAGAGAAAATTAATTTCGTTACACATTAAATATTGATTTGCTGAAACAAAGAAGTTCTTTAACCTTTTTAGTGCCGAACGACGATATATCGTCGTTCGCAACGCTTGCGAAAAGTGCCAACGACGATATATTGTCGCGTATCCTAGGACGTCTTATTATTCGCATTGCAAGGAAGCTCTATCTCAAAATAAATTTATAAAACGTTATAAACGGTCTAATTTCATTACAAAAGAATTAAAAAATTGTTTTTGGGTTTAACTTTTTGTTATATTCTATGCTGGTTGGTGTCGAGGCTCTGTATACGCTGGAGCGATAAGGTAGAAACTCGACACGGGACAGTTTCGTTCTCAGGTCCGATATTAGTTATTTTGTTAAAAATGATTAAAAATGTAATACATATACTTCATACTACGTGATCTACATAAAACTGTGATCAAACGATGATTATTCTTATGTGCAAATATTGTTTGTAGAAGAGAAACTTGTTTTTCATCATTTTTTATATTGATGTTATTCGTATGATTTTCAACAAATATTGAAATACAATTGGCATTATTTTATTCTTTCTTTATTTCGTAATATGCTGCTTTTTGAATTTTGTAAATATCATTTTTAGTTTGGTTTTCATGAGCTTTTTCCCAAACCTTGCAAATTCGTCAAATTGGCTCGGTATTCTTCGCATAGGTACGATACTTTTGCTCGGCACTAAAAGGATTAATATTTTTCTAACATAGCGTTACTTCTTTCAAATAATTTATTGCTTGTGACAATCATTGTAATATTTGAATGAAAATACAAAAGGAATATACCACTTGACGCAGAGATATTTATTGTTTGAGAAATCAAACATTAATTCGCTTGTCCCATTTAAAAGAAACAATTTTGTTTCAATTAGATTTTATTAAACTGAACAAAATCTTTTTCTCTGTGTACATTACTCGCGTAACGGCTGTCGCAGCGTGTCTAAACTCGATTCTCACACGAGAGAAAATGGTCGAGTTGAGGGGAGACCGAGATGGTTCGATATAAAAAGCAGCGAACGTTGCATCAGGCGTAACCGTGTCGAGGATCAGTGAAAATTCCTGGATATTTAACTTGTTGCTCATGGTGTGCTCGTCGAAGGAACGAGCGCGACTTCGATTCCGGTTAACGGCGGCTCGAGCAACACGTCGGAATCGCGGGGTTTTCACGGGGTGAAACGGGGATGTACGACTTTCGCCGCGAGGGTAGATGAGGTACGAGAAGCGGCGCGAGATGTGGGAAAAGCGGCGTGGGTGAGACGAGGCGAAACGAGGTGAGGCGTGCGAGAGACCGAGCTACGTGGTACAGAAGTTAACACGAGAGAGTGCATTGTGTGTGGTGAGCGAGCCGGAAGCGTCGCCATACTGCGTATCGCCCCGCGTCGCTTTTGTTTCCGTTCTCGTTGCTCCCGATCGTTTTCTGCCCCACGCTCTGCCCCCGCCCGCCGCTGCC